GTAGAAAGGATTTTTATGAGCGTTTAGGACAGTTTGAGACGCAGCTTCTTCCATAAAGCTTTTTGAAACAGTCTAACTCTTCAGTTATAAAATCAAAAAATAAACTAAAAGTTCCTACTAGCTGCTTCTCAGAATTTAAAACTCTCCCAAATATACTTTAGTTTGTGCCACGAGTGATACTCGCGGATCGGATGAGTAGAGTATTGGGGTACGTTGGAACGAGGGTATACATAGTACGACATCAAGCAGACAAAAGACAAGATTTATATTGGTTCAGGCACCTTATCAGGTAATAGCCCTAGTCCGGTTTATATGAGATTGATGATGACGAGAACAGATTACAAAGAGGGCAGTCGGGACAGATGGTACCGACGAGATCGTAGTCGAGGGATTCGACGAGATCTCCCGGTGAGTTGGCTCCGTGTACTCCAGCTTCGTAAACTTTGGTGGGTGTGTTGGCGATGGAATTCGATGCCTCGAATCCCTCTCAGTGGGTCCTTTTTATACCGTGAATCATCTTGATCCCCAAGAAAGGTTTGAGGATATCGGACCTGGTACGGTACAACAGAAACTCTATCCCTTCCGAGTAGAACTTTGGAAATCACTTGACTCGTGGAAATATTTTCTATAATCTGAAACGGTTTCCGTACGACACTTACGAGAACAATCCGTATACGTGAAGGTATACCTTATCGGTATATTCCATAAGTCGTAGGATAGGAGGTATGCCTTATCCGTAACCCTGACAGCTTGGATGCTCTATATCGCTACATAATTTTTCACGTCCAATCTATATAATGTATAAATAGATCATATAATAAATTAATTATATACTAGTTATCTATTATGGATTTATACAATTGAGGATTCGATTTCTTATTTGCACTGTCCGGTGCGAGTCGTTAAAGAAAACGATTTGAGCAGGTAAATCAAAGCAGATGTCATTCTTGTTTGTCCTCTTTCTCTTACCACATCTTTACAAATTCTATATGACATCATATCTCACACGCTGACGCCACACCACCATAGACCATGGCAATTACTATGTCAAAATAATTAAGCTAATTGGAGTTTTTATTTATTTAATTATTATTATTTAATTTATGGGATAATTTTCTCTAAGTATTACAGCATAATAGATATCTTTTCCGGTTATAAATATTTAAAGTTTATGATAAGATTTTATCAAACTTTTACAACTTTGACTAATGAGGTATTTCTAAAATGCTTAGTTTTTTTTAAAAAAAATAATATATGTAGATTTGCTTTCAAAAACATTATCATAATATTATAAACTCCTTAGATTTTAGAAACTAATTTTAACAAAAATCTGATGGTAAGAATTCGAACATGTTTTGAACCAATATTATTTTAAGTTTCGAATATTTATAGTCAGATAATATAAATAGGTCATGTCAATCACAAGACTGTGTACGTGCCGATGGATAAGGTATTGGGGCAATTGTAAATTTACCACTATTTTGAATCGTTATTGCAAAACTGCCACTAGAAAATTACAAAAATGCCACTAGAACTATCATTCGAGTGACATCCTTGCAAAATTGAAAAAAAGGTGGTAAATTTGCAAATGCCCCTAAGGTATTACATCAATGCTTTTGTCCCGTAATACAGTACAGCGTACAAATCAATCGATCCGTGGGAGCCATCAAATCTTTGGATCGAATTCGTCGATTGCTCCATCAGCGTACCCTTGATCGAACAATCCAACAGAAATGGTCATTCAAATCTTCCATATTACAGTATGTTTCAAACAAGCTAGCTGCCAGCAGAAACGGTCATTGAAATCTCCATGTTATATGTTTCGTCAAGCGTGTAGTACTAAGTTACAGACGGCTTAAATTATTGTATGTTTTTGCTGTTGCTTCCAATCAATAAACCTGATGCGCATCATGTTGGTTAATTACGTTTGCCACCTACGTCATAATCTCATCATATCACTCACTCATACGATCTATTTAATTGGTTACCAACATTAATTCAAGTGTGAATATCCACAGAGAAAAATAGTGCCTTCGATTCCATTTTCAAAAAAAAAAAAAACTTCAATTGATTCGTGTGCCAACTCAGCTTCATCGATCAGCTTCAGTTGGTCTGGGATGTGGTGCAACTAGTCCAAGCTCTCTCCGCGCACTATGTTTAATATATGATCCGAATTTTAGACCCACGATATATTCGAATTAGTTTTCTATTAGGACTTAAGTCTTTGCCTATTAGGACTTCTATTTCTCCTATATATATATCCCTTGTAAGCTACACGGAGAGGGTGTGACAGCCCAATGTATGTCCTACGTTTGTATCCAACTCCTCTATTGTAATCATTGCTGGTCGGCGCCCGTAATTTTTTCCCGCAAGAGTTTTCCACGTAAAATTCGTATCTCCGTTATGCACCTATTTTCATAACACACTAAGGACAATCTTGTCTGGCACTGGATAGGTGACCAAAGCTACTCCGCCAGCTCAGCTTACCACAGCTTTTTCATGGGGCAGCACTCCTCCCCTTGCGCCGACATGCTTTGGCAGGCTAATGGCCCTGTCAACTGTAAGCTTTTCCTCTGGCTTGTGTTCCAGCAGCGCTGCTAGACGGCAGATCTTCTGCATAAGCATGGTATTGACAACCACTCGACTTGCCCCTTTTGCGCCCAGGAGCATGAAACGGTGAGCCACATCCTTCTCGACGTATTCTCTCGCCAAGTCTGGCGCATTACATCCTATCTCCCTCCGGCTAGTCTAGGTTCGCTCCCTCCCATCGCGATTCTCTTTAGGTCTAGTGGACAACGGCCAGGGCTCGCCTGCCTTTGCATCTTTGCAAGGGTTCCGACTCTTTGGTCCTCCTAGTTTCCTGTCAGCTTTGGAAAGAGTGAAACGCCAAGGTTTTCAATTATTCCCTTTCACCGTTTTTGATGGTTATAGGGTCCATCCTTTAGGAGGGTCGTCTCTGGTCTCTCGCTGGTGCCGCCTCGTTTAGGGACCTATTAGGAGATTAGGAGGCTCCTCTGCCAACCCTCCCGCTAGATAGGAGCAACATCTTTTTTAGTTTTTAGTTTTTGCTCGTTTTCTGTTTGAAATTCTCCTTGTTGTAACCTGCAACGACCGGTCTGGTCGGTTTCTGTAGTAAGAACTCTATTTTTCTTATATTATGCTAACATGCAATTATTTTGCACATTCAAGAAAATATATATGCCAAAGAAATAGGTCTACATATCATAAGGACGGTTCACGATTCACGAATGACTTCGAGAATGGAGTAAGGATTTACATGATGACACAGAATTATGAATTAGAAGAACAATAGTATTAGTGTAGGAAGAATGTAATCCCAATTGTAAAGGAGCGACGTGTGGTGGAGGTCGGACGACAAAAAATATTTTTTGTCGCCAGCTAATTTTTATGGGTGTTTTTGTGATTGTTAGCAAGGATAGGTGGATCCTGCATGGCCATCTGGTGAACCTGAAGTTGGTTTCGTGACATTGTAGTCCTTATTTGATTAAGAAATTGAAGTAACTCTTATAATCATCGTATAATTTTGTTTTCCATTCAAAGAAACAATATGAGCCTGTTCACTTTGATGCCATTTTTAACCTTACCAAATTTGGTAAAGTTACCAAAAAAGTGGCTATATTTAGTTTGCTGCCAAATTTTGGTAACTATATAAAAAGAGCAATTCTACGGTACTTAAGGAGGTACCATGAGGTACCAAAAATTTAGTGAAAAATTTGGTACCTCATGGTACCTCATAGTAACTAGGTATTAAGAAGTACCAAATTTACAATAGAAAAAGTGGTACCTCATGGTACCTCCTCAACGACCGTAAAATTGCTCATATAAAAAATTATGCGCCAAAATTTAGTAAGGTTTTTTTTAGCAACAAAGTGAACAGGCCCTAGACCTATAGGCGGACAGAACAAGATCACTGACCTATAGATCTACTTCACTACGAACACATATGTCAGTTACCCAAAATTAAATACATGACGTAACGGCATCGTATCCGCTTCTTGGATGAACTAGCATAACATACACACTACTCCCTATATAGTATAGTATAAGCTGAGAAACATCAATAATTAAGCGAAGTGTGACCCGAATTTATAGTTGATGCAGTTGTCCCCTATCCGGACGGCGGCCATGCACATCATCGTACGCCCCCATCATATCATCACACGTACCATCCAGAACATACTCGATCGATCGACCTCATCGTCGTCCGCAGTGCAGTCCAAAATCGTGTGGTCGCGTCGCGTCGGCGCTTATCACGGCATTGATTAGCTAATCATCACTCCATTAACGTCGTAGTACCATCTGAAATCGACAGCAAATTAACCTCGCCGGAGTCGAACGATGAGCGACGGCGGCGAGGCCGGTTTCGTCGTCGTCGTCGGCGGCGGCGGCGGCTGGTGGCCATCAGGTGGGCCGTACGGTGTACGACGTATTGGCGTGCTCGGTGGTGTGGTGGGGCCGCCACATCGATCGCACGCCGGCTCACGTGCCACCATCGGAGAGCCACGCTGGATCCACGTGCCGCTCTCGGCGGCGGTCATCCAACACCACACAAATATCGCGGGAGAAGATTAACCGTTAAACCGTTTTATCAGCCATGGGATGTCACTAGCAAATTAATCGATATCGCATCTTAAATATTGATCAAACTGTGGCTACGGATTGATGTAGAAAAAGAAAAACAGATTGATCCTTTTAGCAAGTTTAATAGCTAACTACCGGCTATAAATTATTTATAGTTGATTTAATAGCTAATTTATATAATATTTACTTATATAAACATATATACAATTAATATAATATATGGTCCCACGTGTTATATGCGCATGTATCTTGAAGTTTTTGCTGTAGCTGATTATAAATCTATAGTGCTCTTATCTCTCATCTTTTATCTTTTCGAAATATGTTTATAGCTTGCTTATAGATGCTATTTTACCCGCTCTTATAAATCTCCGATCCGGTGCTATAAAAAGGCCCCAGTGCGTGTCAAACAAACTCAAACTCAAACTGCACTTCCCTTTTCAGCTCTTCTCCAACCTCAATTTCACCCCATTTTTCCATATCCTCTCTGCACACGTACGTACAGGTAAACGTGCCTGATCATGGACATGGACTCGTCGCCGTCGACACAGGACTGTGGCGGCTGGCTGCTGTACGTCTCCCTCGCTGCCAAATGCGGCGGCGACCCTTGCCGCGTCGTCGGCTTCGTCGCCGTTGCCGTCGTCGCCTTCGCCGTCACGTCGCTCCTGCACTGGCTGTCGCCCGGTGGCCCGGCGTGGGGGAGGTATTGGTGGAACAGGAGGGGTGGTCTGGGCATTGCTGCCGCCATTCCTGGGCCCCGTGGGTTGCCCGTGCTCGGCAGCATGTCGCTCATGGCGGGACTCGCGCACCGGAAGCTCGCCGCGGCGGCGGGGGGCTCGCCGGCGAGGCGGCGCCTCATGGCGCTGTCTCTCGGGGAGACACGGGTGGTGGTCACCGCCGACCCCGGCGTCGCGCGGGAGCTCCTCGCCAGCGCGGCGTTCGCCGACCGGCCGGTGAAGGAGTCCGCGTACGGGATGCTGTTCCACCGCGCCATCGGGTTCGCGCCCTACGGCACGTACTGGCGCGCGCTCCGCCGCGTCGCGTCCACGCACCTCTTCTCGCCGAGGCAGGTGTCCGCCTCCGCCGCGCAGCGCGCGGTGATCGCGCGCCAGATGGTGGAGGCCATGAGGTCCGCCGCCGCCGCCGCCGCCGGTGGCGGCGTGGCGGCGAGGCCGTTCCTGAAGCGCGCGTCGCTGCACAACGTGATGTGGTCGGTGTTCGGGAGGAAGTACGAGCTGGCGGCGCCGGAGAGCGAGGAGACGGCGGAGCTGAGGAGCATGGTGGACGAAGGCTACGACCTCCTCGGCCAGCTCAACTGGTCCGACCACCTCCCATGGCTCGCACCCTTTGACCTCAAGAAGACGCGGTCAAGGTGCTCGTCCCTTGTCCCCCGCGTCAACCGCTTCGTCACCCGCATCATCGACGAGCACCGTGCTCGCCTCAGCCTCGCCGTCGACGCCGCCGTCGACTTCACCGACGTCCTTCTCTCCCTCCACGGCGGCGACAAGCTCTCCGACGCCGACATGGTCGCCGTCCTCTGGGTATGTACAGTACTCCAGTAATTAATTACCACTCGATAATGAGCTTAATTAATTGCTCCTAATTAAGCAAATCAACTCATAAATTGATAATTTAATTTTGCAGGAGATGATCTTTCGAGGGACGGACACGGTGGCGGTCCTGATCGAGTGGGTGGCGGCGAGGCTGGTGCTGCACCAGGACGTGCAGGCCAGGGTCCATGACGAGCTGGACCGAGTGGTCGGGTCGGACCGGGCAGTGACCGAGTCGGACGCGTCCAAGCTGGTCTACCTCCAAGCGGTGATCAAAGAGGTCCTGCGCCTCCACCCGCCGGGCCCACTGCTCTCGTGGGCACGCCTCGCCACGTCGGATGTACACGTCGGCGGGTTCCTCATACCCTCTGGGACCACCGCCATGGTGAACATGTGGGCCATAACCCATGACCCTGCCGTTTGGCCCGACCCGAACGAGTTCAAACCAGAGAGGTTCGTCGCAGGGCCCTCGTCGGACCAGGCCACGGAGTTTCCGATAATGGGGTCGGATCTCAGGCTCGCGCCGTTCGGGTCAGGAAGGCGAAGCTGCCCCGGCAAGTCGCTCGCCATCGCCACTGTCGGATTCTGGGTTGCCACGTTGCTACACGAGTTCGATTGGCTTCCCTTGTCAGATAAGTCGCGCGGCGTCGATCTGTCGGAGGTGCTGAAGCTGTCGTGCGAGATGGCAACCCCGCTGGAGGCAAGGCTAAGGCCGCGACGCAAGGTGTGATGACGTGTCACCACCGTCACGTGGGACTAAGACGAGGAGAGGGAAGCCGACTTCCACTTCCTTCTAGTGCTTGTTGAGATGTGTAAATGTCCCTAAATGTAAAGTGTTACGCTTTGAGTAGAAATGCCCCTACGTTGTAGTGCGTAGTATTGTACACTTGTAGTATGTAATGCTTGTATTTTTGTGTGTTTTGCACGTCCTAAGTAGTGGAGTAGTAGCTGATAATAGTTAGTTAATTACTCTGCTATTTAGTCATAGTTAACTACCTACCTGCAGGTGATGAGAGTGACAGTTTTTTTTTGTTTAATTAACTGCAGGTGATGAGTGTAGAATAGCTCGGTATGCCCATCTCTATCCTAAGTGCACGCGTGCGTGTGTAATTATTGTCAGATGTATGTTGTTTTCAATGATAGTGTACATATTTTTGGCGAGCTCGATCTTCCATTAGGAAGTGATCGCTGCATGCTTACCTCAAATCTGTCTTTAACTGTCAAAGCAAGAATCTTTTCACAGCTTCTTGGTCAAATATGGGGTTTGTCTTGGGGGAAATTTGGATGCATGGGACCATGCATTTCTGCATATTTTGATCGATATGCACGAGTATATAAATGCTACTACTAGTAGTAGTAGTAACAGCTATCATGGACCAGTACTGCAGATACATGTAATCTGTACCATCAGGTTGCTGTCAAGCTACATGGCCTGTAGCTGTCTGAACCAGAGCCCTGGTCTGAACCAGAGCCCTGGTCTGACATAGAGAATCTTTAATCACTGATCCAAACAGTAAAGTTTGTTTATCACTGTCGTTTAACAGAAATCTCTCAGCTCTCGATCGTCGATCATCTGAAAACCGTTGTCTGCTGGTTCGTACAACCTGAAAACCCTGCTAGGGTTCGTCTGAAACTGTGGTTTGATGGCCGCGTTAACCATGCCTGACGAGGCCAAGAAAACGATGTGTCCGAGCTAACCACTGTACTTGCCTCCTGCTTGTCGTCCCAACCACACGAAGGAAGAAAGCAAACACACCTGGTCGATTAGATCGTGTATCTGAACCCGAAAGCTCAGCTCTGCACAACACGACATACAAAACAGTAACTGATTTGCAGGTTGTTGCTAGCATGAAGCATCTTTTAAGCTGCTGCTGCTAGATTTTATCACCTCGCAGATCGAAGCAGGCCACAGTCACCACATATCTTGAGATCCAATCAAAAAAAAGGTTACAAAAAAGAAAGGGAGATCGAAGCAAAGATCGTGTTCTTGCGTTGAGATGCTTCTCGTCAGGGATGATAGCTGCGTGCATGGCGCAACTAGCTAGCAAGCAGCTGCTTATCTCCATCGTCAGAACTTCATCTTCTACCTCCGGATGCTGCTGTGTAATAATATATGCTGTATATATTTATGTATGGATGTACTGTATGATAGTAGTATATATATGCATATATGATGATGAGGTAGCTAGATCGATGTGGGTTGCGATCTTGCTTTCTTGATAAAGCAGGGACAGCAACTTTCGAGTCATCGCTACCCAAGCGTGTGCCTTTCCTTATCGCACGCACCCAGAGATCGATCGATCGATCGAGTTGCTGTCCACCATGGATGTGCCACTTCAATTCCCCCCAGCCCAAGTTGCAAAGCTAAAATGGACGCATTTCCGCACACGACGAAATTATTAGCCAGGTCTTTTAATTTGGCATAAATTCAGGAACAGTGAATTAGCTAGTGATCGATCTGCATATAGTACAGCGGGCCATTGGCACCAAGAATATTCATTATATATATATACATGCTTATGCTTAATTAGTTAGCAGCTCTTGCATGCTTATACCTTATTATGACACACCTAGATCGATCGATCGATCTTCAGTTTGATGCCTATATGAATCATCGCATCGAGTGAGCTAACCAAGCATGGGTTTCAGATATCAGCAGCAGAAGAATTGAAGCTAGACGTATATATAATATTCTTCAGATACCATCATCAGAAGAGTACTCCCTCCGTTTCACAACGTAAGTCATTCTAGCATTTCCTATATTCACATTGATGTTAATGAATCTAAACATATATATCTATCTAGATTCATTAACATCCGTATGAATGTGGAAAATGTTAGAATGACTTACATTCTAAAACGGATGAAGTAAAAGCTAGTACGAGTATATATTCTTGTGCACATGTGCTATATATATCAAAACGAGATATGCATAAAAAATGCCACTTGGTCACTTGCTGTTGAGGAGAAAGGAACTACTCCTACCAATACTAACGAATAATAGCACAGCCCCTGGATGCATCAGAGGGTGGTAATGGTATAGCTTTTCTCTTTAGCTGGGGGTCGCAAAGGAGATGAGCATACTCCTACTAGATATGATAGCCCTGTCGTCTCTGCACTATCTCATCAGCTAATATCGAGCAACAGATCATTCAGGCAGGGTCAGCTACTCACACACTCACCTGGCTGGCTCTCTGCTCTGCTCTGCTCTCCTCTGCTACTACTATATCAGTAGTACTACAGTAGTAGTAGCTTGAGGTTGAAGATAAGATCAAGAAGAGAGAGCAAATAAAAAGGGTTTGTTGGCATGGCAGGAGGATTTGAGGAGAAGATGGCCCATCGGCGCACGACGTACGGCCGGCCGACCGGCACAGCTGATTAAAGCGACGCAACAGCGGAGCCCATTTCAGCTTGCTCCCGTCGTGACACACGTTACAAAGTATCTAGTAGATCAGTGGCAGAGTTTGGAAATTGTTTGAGCCCGAACAAACTTCGCTATAACTATTACTCCCTCCGTCCCATAATATAAGGGATTTTGAGTTTTTATTTGTAACGTTTAATCACTTATCTTATTTAAAATTTTTTGAAATTATTATTTATTTTATTTGTGACTTAATTTATTATCTACAGTAATTTAATCACAACTTTTTATTTTTTATATTTGCAAAAAAAAAAATTGAATAAGACGAGCGGCCAAACATTGCAAACAAAAACTCAAAATCCCTTATATTGTGGGACGGAGGGAGTACTACTTTACTATGTAAATTTCATCATCAGTTTATTCAAAAATATTAAATTCAATTGAGTTTTTACTGGCGAGCCCGGGCAGCCAGGCAGGCGGTGCCACTGATTCCAATGACCCCCGCGGTGCCACTGATTCTAGTGACCCCAGCTGCTTGCTATTTCCTACCTTCGTTTCATAATAGATATCGCTTTGACTGTTTTGCTTGTAATGTTTGATCATTTATTTTATTTAAAAAATTAGTATAAATATAAAAAAAATAAATTATACTTAAAAGTACTTTGATAATAAAGCAAATCACAAACAAAATAAATAATAATTTTAAAAAAAATTAAATAAAATAAATGATCAAACATTATAAATAAAAACTTATATGGGGCGAAGGTAGTACTTCACTTCCTTCATCTAGAAAAACCAACTTCTATCTAAATATGTTAGTTAGAAGTTAGTTTTTTCTCGGACGGAGGACGTAGGCATGTAGTTCATGAGCTGACCGCTGCACACTCGCTGAAAGGAGCTCGTTCTCCTCCGTGCATGCAGCTCTCAACACACGCACGTACGATGTTAAGCTTGCCCACACAAGCTAACATAAAGCTAAAGCTAGCATTTTGCCGTGATCTCATCCACCGAGACGAAGAAAAGATTAATTACTAGCATGATGAACCAGTGTTAGTGCAAGAAGCATGCATGAGGTTTGATAATCAGTTGTGTTAGCAGAGTTGCATCTATACTACTCCCTTCGTCTTATAATATAAAAAATTTTGAAGGATGTAAGAAACACATAGTACTAGAATGTATAATATCCCTTCAAAATCTCCTATATTGTAGGACAGAGGGAGTATGCAGCTAGCACAGGCAAAGAAAAACATAGCAAATTAAGACCTCCAGTCTTTTCGCTTATATTTATGCTTATCAACCAAAATTTAAATTTTTAATCTTAAATTTGGAGCTGATTTTGAGGTTTTTTCATCGAAGTTTATTTTTCAACTATTGCTTTTAGATCACTAAGAACACGTATATAAAAGTTTTATTCACAAATTACTTTTTATTTGTAAATATGTCGTTTAGTTTATTCCACGAATAAAGAAAACGATGGGGTCGTAAAGTTGCAATGGCCGGTCACTCCACTGCATCAGGAGCTATTAACTAGAGTAGATTAGATTAGATAGACAGCGCGCTATGATTGGCCGGCAATCTTATCATGCGTCACTACCTCTACCAGCCTGAAGCTATTGGCTTAATTAATTTAAGGCCAAGCAAAGCTCGATCTGTCAGTTAACATAGTTTTACTGGGCGAGACATGCATGGGGACACTGATTTGATCCAAGCTTTTGTGTTGCCATTGTTGCATAATGCATAGCCATCCACTTGTAGTACACCTACATTGGCTCGAGCACTATACAGGGAGGAGATTATTTGGCAGGGATGCATATGTCGAAGCATAAAGCAGGAAAAGACTGGAGGTGATCAGGTGATCGAGCCCCAGAGCAACTGTACGCTCCCTTGGTCATGGGACGCCCGACCAGATGATCTGTCTCCCTGGCCCGACCTAGAACAGCGCCAATTTGATCTCAATCTGCAAAGGCAAAGGCAAACGAGCTAGGCACACAGTGACAATCCAGGTAGGGAGAGCAATCCAGAGATAGATAGCTCAGCTGATGATCAGCTGAGACCTCCCTATCTGCAGGTGCAGGAGGATGATTGATCCAGCAAATTCTCATGTTCCTCATCAACTGCTAGCTACTCTCCATCCAGTGGCGGATCCAAAAAATCAATTCGTTGGTGTTATAACATATCTATTGGTGTCATAGACTCATAGCATGCTAATTATACTTAGATCATGGTGTTATAATATATAGATAAGCAACTTTGCTATAGGTTTTACCAAAAGTCGTCGATGTCATCTGACACCGGCCATTACACTCTAGATCCGCCCCTGTCTCCATCCATCACATTATAGTGTTAGAAATTTGTTCTAAAATGTAGCAATCTCTCATCTCAACAAATCAAAACCATCTCTTATTTAATTTATTCATCTACTTTTTTTTATCTCAAACAATCATAACTATCAACCATTTAGTTTCACTTATCTAATTGTTTATCATGAAAAATTATAAAAGTGGAACAGTCGAGCAGTTATACTAGAGTAGTAGCATAGCAGCCTAGCAATAGCAGTAATGTACTGTGACTACATTTAGCTCCATCAGTTTGTCTGTCTGTCAGATGTGCTGTGACTACATTTATAGACATGAAAAATGAATATTGACACTGTCAATCTGTCGACAAGGGAAAATGGAGAAACACAGGTACTCCACTGTATTATAATTAATTAGGTACATTTCAGTCTCAGCTCTTAAAGCCACTGGAATCTGATATATTTACCCTGAATGCTTCTTGGGTTCTTCTTCTTTCTTGCATCGAATCAAAACTAGTAGAACGTGGTATTAATCCAGGTAC